CAGCTTACAGTGGTGGTCTGCGCAGGTCCCAGCGGCCCACTCATCCACCTCCCGGGGGCTTTCGTGCCGCCGGCCTTCTAGGCGGCCTCGTGCCAGGGGGCGCCGGGGGGTTAGGCCCCGAGACTTTCATTCCCAGCAGCAGCTCAGTTACTGGGCTGTCTGTACTTCCGGCCCTTGGGTGGTTTTCACCTTAACCCAGGGGTACGAACCGCAGTTCCGGCCCCTAGCCTTCGGCCGGGCCAAAATGACAGTCGTCAGCGATCCGGCAGAGGCCCTAGCTCTGGCCCAAGAGTTGTCCGTCCTTCTGTCCAAGGACGCAATCGAGCCAGTAGACCCTCTGCTTAGCCCAGGGGGTTCTACTCGGCGTACTTTCTCGTGAGCAAGAAAGTCGGCGGATTTCGCCTGATCTTGGACCTCAGAGGAATCAACAGATTCCTGAAGGTGCTGCCATTCTATATGCTGACCACAGCACATGCACAGGCGGAGTGGTTCTCAACCGTGGACCTGAGGGATGCCTACTTCCACGTGGGCCGGGCAACATGGTGCCTTATATTCAGTTCCTCCGGCCCTTGGGCAGACTGATGGCTGCTTCGGCCGTTGGGCCCTTAGGCCCGCTGTCGTTGCGCCCCATTCAGATGTGGCTGAACAGCCTTCACTTGGACGCCAAGTGGCACAGGCACAGGAAAGTCAGGGCGTCGCAGCGTTGCCTCCACTCTCTGTCACACTGGAGGGGCAGGGCGTGCCCATGATGGGCGTGCCCATCCCGCCAGGAGACCGTCACCATAGGTGCAGGTCTCTCGGGGTGGGGTGCACTACGGCAGGTCAGGGTTGTTCAGGGTCAGTGGTCTGCCCAGGAGGGTGCATGCCATGTCAACGTGCTAGAGCTTTGGACTGTGCAGCTTGCACTCACGCACTTTCTACCCCAACTGGGGGGCATGTACGCAGACAGTAGTCCCTTCTAGATAGTGGGCGTTCTCACTCCATTCTGAATTTATGTGGCTGCTAATTCTGCTCGACATATTCGGGTCGACGGCGCCACGACGGAGTGCCACAGGTCGGTGTCTCTCTTCCTGAGAGGGGCTTTACGGCAGCATCCCCCTAGCACCCCTTGGGCTCCGGCTTGGGACCTGCCCCTGCTGCCGGATGCCCTATCATCTCCTCCCTTCGAGCCCCTGGCCCAGGTAGAGCTTAAGTGGCTGTCCTTAAAGGCAGCATTTCTGCTTGCCATGACCTCAGGGAAACGAGTTGGAGAGCTACATGCCCTCTCCGTGAGCGATACATGCCTGAGGTGGAACTCCGATGGCTCGGGTGTTGCCCTCTGGCCGAACGTGGCGTTCCTGCCCAAGGTGCTTCCACTAGCCCACTCCAATCGGCCTATCCAGCTGGCGCGCTTTAACGTCCCACAGGAGAACGGCACGCCTGAGTTGCTGTGCCCTGTGCGTGCCCTAGAGGCGTATATTGGTGCTACGGCCCATATACGACAGTCAGAGCAGCTCTTCATTTGCCATGGCGGCACGAGAAGGGGCTGTGCTCTCTCCAAGCAGCGGCTGTCCCACTGGGTTGTGGATACAATCTCACCTGCCTATGGGGCCAGTGGCCGGCCCCCGCCGTCAGGGGTGAGACGTCACTCTACAAGGAGCATCTCAACGTCTTGGGCTGCCCTGAGAGGGGTGTCCCTGGAGACCATCTGCGCCGCGGCGTCGTGGGCATCGTTTGGCACATTCTCCACGTTCTACCGGGTCAATGTCGCCACTCCCCATCATTTGGGCGTGGTCCTGTTACCGAGCTCCGCTGCTTCCAGTAGTGAGAAAGGGCTTGGATTCTTCATGACAGGGTTGGTATAGGTCAGGGATCACCAACTACATTTGTCCAAGGGCCAAAATGTATCCAATAGACAATATCGCGGGCCAGCGATTTTTATATAGCCCAGAATTTTGAAGTTGTTGACCGGGGGGGGGGGGGGGGACACCCCGCATAAAGCTTAGCAGACTCTTCACGCTAACGAAGGATCACTTCTCGGCAGGGTTACTTTGTAAATGTAATCAGTTACTGAATACAGAATACATGCTCTGAAAGTAATCAGAATACAGTTACGTGTCTTAAAAAAACGTATTCAGATTACTTTTAGAATACTTTCTTTTTCCATAACAGATGGGTATGTTTTGGTGAACAGGAGACACTTGTTTTATTGTTTTAATGGCTTATCGAGAACTCAAACACAACATCTTGGTGTCATTGTGGACAGCTCCCTCTCATCTGCACCACACATAAAAAACATCACCCGGACTGCATTCTTTGTACTGTCTTAAAACCTTTCCTTGGAATATGTTATGAATTGTAAGGTGTCCTTGGGTGCTTTGAAAGGCGCCCCTAAATAGAATGAATTATCAATATTATTTATTATCTGAAATGATGTAATAACTTGTTCCAGTCACTTGCCATTCATTCAGCAGCAGCAGGCCATTCACTTTGATTTGATCCCGTTATGAAATGTCATCATTTCGACAATAAATAAATGCTACATAAACGTAAAAGAGATCTCTCTCTCTCTCATCTGCGTGCGGGGGCGGGGCCTCACAGACACGCTGCATCTCTCTGGCTCACAGACATGCTGCAGCGCTGTGCGCACACCAGTGGCGGCGCTAGGGGGTGACTACTTGGGCTCAAGCCCCGGATGTTTTCTGAACAGCCCCGGATGTTTCACTTAAAAAAATTAAAAAAAATGTAAAAGATTTTTTTTTTTTCTGAAAATGTCTCGGGAGTAATGTGCAGTACCGGAGTCCACCAGCGAGGCAGCCGCTGCGGGACATTAGCCTGCATACTGCGTAGCCTTCCCTGCCCTGAAGAAGAAGTGATCCTTCCTAGCGCCTGACGAGTTTTAAGCTAATAGCCTATAAAGTTATGGATATTAGAAAGTTATTTTCATCGAAGCAGGCGCCACAAGCTGCAGCAGCAGCAGCAGCTGACAACAATGCAGCAGTGTCCCGCAGCTCCTGCCTCTCTGTTGGACTCTGTCGCAGCGGGGCTACTGCTGTGGTGCGGAGCGCACAAAACACAACTCTTCACAACGAAGGATCACTTCTTCTTCAAGGCAGGGAAGGTTTCGCAGTACGCAGTCTACTGTCCCGGAGCTGCTGCCTCTCTGTTGGACTCCGATACTGCACACAGTGGTTACTGCTCCGCCAACCCCGTCGTGCGGGCCGGATGAGAATGTCTGGCGGGCCGGATGTGGCCCGCGGGCCGCCAGTTGGTGGTCACTGGTATAGGTCATCCAGTGCTAAAGCACTGCCTCTGGCGGTCAGTAGGGACGAAATACAACGATAGTTACGGCTGTAACTACGGTTCTATGAGTCCCGGATGACCGCCAGAGTTTCCGGTCACTCAGAATTCTTGTGTGCTCGCGAGAAGATTCTGGGAACCGATCCAATAGTGACACCGGCCTATGTAGCCGTAGTCACGTGGGTCACAGGTGACTTTGTTGTTATTAGGTACTCGAACTGCGCATGCGGGCGATGGACATATCCAGTGCTAAAGCACCGCCTCTGGCGGTCTTCCGGGACTCATAGAACCGTAGTTACAGTCGTAACTATCGATTTACAATCAGATGAGACTCACGTCATGCCTCACAATCCAATCAAATCGCATCAAATTCAGTTCGTACTGTAACTGTCATCACTGCCCTTAAAAAGTAGCAAGCAAGTGCAATTATGGAGGGTGGAGATTTGGAGTATTTCATCGAAAATAATTGTACTAAACTTCCGCTACAGCAGCAACTAAAAATGAAATCTGATGACAGGCCAATGCCCAAACTGGAGCTGTGTACAGAGAGGAAAAAAGGAGCAAATCGGACGTAAAACTTTAAATAATAAACAGCGGATTTCTAGCATTTGACATTTCATGTGGCCGGACTGGGACAGTTTCCAGGGCTGAATTTTAGTCCCAGTCCGCCCCTGATACAGGGTACTTATTATATGTTATAGTTTGGATTCCTAAATCTTTTAGTCTACTTTCCCATCATTCAAGGGTGGTTTTCACTATAAGCAATGTCTTTTTTTTTGACGGATACTATAATTTACATGTTATAACAGATCAATTCACATCATCTTGCTCTTTCTAAAGTCAGCAGCAGTCACCAGCAAAACCACGAAGATTTCCTTGTGCTTTCCTGACATCAGCCATCCTGCGGCTGCCTCTGTGGCAACAGTGACTGCTACCAAATGTAGGACAAACTTTAAGGTGAGTTGGACGGAGCTGCATAAACGGGATGTATTATTCATCCTCACATGGCCAGCCTTTTAAATGTTTCCTGAAAGCTTGTGCAGGAGTGATACAATCCGACATCTGTAAGTGCACTTGGTAAATGTCCTGTAGTCACTTCAACTTGCTCTGCATTCGAGGCAGAGGGTTCACTTCCTCTGCTTTGACTTATATAATATTCTTAGGATTTTAGAGTTTATAAAAACATTGATATTAAGCTTAATTAATGAGAAAGCCTCATCATCATGCTGGACAAAATGGCCTGTAAAATCACATATGTGAAGATTTTAAGAAGAAGGGACCACTCTCCTTATGTGCAGGAGGGTTTCCACAGTTATATAGTAGATATATTAATGATGGATTATGGATGAGCAACATATGATACAAACTGTGAAATTATGGTCATCACTCATGTGAAAACCTTGTAACTCCGGTTAGGTAATCGCATTTTATTTTTTTAAGCTGAATGATCCCAGATTTGTAAGGTTTTTTGAACAGTTCAATACAAATAAATGTATGTTACCACTGCCCCCATTTGTATAGGCAGTTGATGAAGATCAATAAAGGATTATTACCATTTTTGACAATTAATGTCACAGAATCAATTATGATTTGAATATTTTTTGTACAATTATACGTTATCTAAAACTCAAACGATTAGTTGATCGGAAAAAATGAAATTTCAATTAATTTGATAATGGTGTAATACGAATTTCTACAAGGATAAAATGCTAAAAACTCACTCTGCCATCAGCCAGACGCCACGAACACTACCATCCACCGTGCCATCCACCAGAGCTTCCACGTCTCTCACGGCCTGACTCAGAGTTCCAGGCTGAGGAGACAAATGCACGGTGTCACTGTCTAAATTTCCATTGTGACAATAACAATCATTGCACAGAACGCTTAAGGGGCAATCTTTGAGGCAGAAACACAGATGGAACTCGTACTCCAACAAAATGTCAGCACGTCAAAAAACAAAGCCTCTGCTGCATATGAAAATGATTGCAAATGAAGAAAGCTGAGTGTGCAGCTCCTGTGTATAAATCTGAGAAACTCCTGAAGAAGAGAAAGCTTCTGTACATAATACATTACACATCCAATTGTCAGCTTTGAGCATTTCTGTTTTCTAATGCAATCCACACTCAAACTGTCATTTAAGATTCTATCTTTGCACGTTTTATTATTTCAATGGCAAGTTAAAGATATTAGGAGTCCATAAGGGCCGCTGACAGTTCAACAGCAATGTGAGCATGGAGCTGAGTCGGAACACGGGACCCCAAAACCACCGGCCGTCAACTAACATACTGTGAGCTGCTGATATTATTCCATTTGTTAATGATGTGTCATATTTTTGTTTATTAATCACTATGGATATGTTGGTCTATATCTAACTATATTATGTAATATAGAGGTTTATCTCTTTAGACATTACAGTCTGCATAAATCCAGGTGTAGTGCTAGGTAACTTGATTTGAAGGAAAGGGAAGTTGTAAAACATTTGCATAGACATTTGCATTGTAGTCTACAGTATTTTGCCAATGTTTTATCAAGGTTTTCGAAATAAACAATGGGCAATTCCTGCGGGAAAAGTTAAATCTTTCTGTCTTTGAATATATAAAATGCAATGTAGGTTTATTTTAAAGAGCAATCACTTAGGATTTGACACAGTGGTGAAGGAAGTATTTTTCAGACAAATGAGCGTGTGTGTGTGTGTGCGTGCGTGCGTGCACTTCAGATAAAACATTAGCTTTAAGCTAGCTCCGGTACAGTATATCGTGACGTTGCTTAGCTTTAGTAATATTCTTCTAGACTTTTCACACATGTCAGCTGCACGTGATGGGACATTTCTAAAACTTGTTTAATTTCACCAACAAGACCATACAGCAGAAGTGTTTACCCTCAACACGAAGAACTTTCTGATCCGGAACTGGTCCAGAGGGGGCTCCGCAGAGGTGTGCTGGGGGCGGGCCGTTGCCTGCTCCTCTGCCCGCTCCTCCGCGCCCTCTGTGGGGGCAGCGGGCAGACTGGGCTCCGGGCCCACGGGAGAACAGCTCAGCGGGGGCTGCTCCTCCTCACCGGGTGCTCCTTCCTCCGCGACTGCTGGCATGGTGGGTTTAAAGACCCCAACAGCACTGTAACAGACGGCTCACTTCTTTCAGAACACTTGACTGAATAGCAGGCAGGATTTAAAGACCTGTCAAGTTCCTCCTGTGACGTCCCTAGTATCGAAACGTCAGTCGTTCCACATGTATTGAATCTCTCAATCCCTTTGAGTAAAAATAGTTCAAACGTATTGTAATACAAAGTATTTACTTACAACAAATGATCGATGTGGCAGAAGGTGTTGAAAGCTAGATTTAAAGGAAGCAGTGACAAGTAGCATTAACTTCCTGTTCCGACTCCAACGTTTGTTTAATGGGCGTGTTCATCTCAATGAAGCACACAGCTGCTATTACCCTGACATACAGTCTGTGTTGTTACTACCTTTTATATATTATTACCCTTATAGTCTATGTCAGGGGTTCCCAACCTTTGCCATCCCAAGGTCCCCATATTATAGCATTATCCTCTGGCGGGGACCCCCCTGTTGCCATTTTTGTTATTACATTATGATGGAAAATATGACATTCATCATACAGCTTAATACATTTTCTTAATATATATTTGTATTAATAATTAATAATCAGTTATTCTTCTAAACATTTTTCGTATTTATCTTTTGTTTGTCATTCATTACATTAATTGTGTCTTCTGTTATAAACATTCTTAACACAATATTATCAAATCAAGTTTTATTATGGTACGTTTATAACGATTTTTGGTCGAGCCAAAGTGCTGTACATATAATCAAAATAGCCTACAGTAGAGACACTTTACAGCAAATACAACAGCACAGATGGTTCAGAATATCAGTATGAGAAAAAACGACACCCTCTATCCTTATATTAAATAGTAATGTAAACATATTTTTAAAGCATTTTTAAAGTGATTTCTGTCTTTATAATATTAAATAATTTTGAACAGTAATATGGTGGGAGGGGTGGGCTTGGTGGCTCCTATACAGTTTATCAATCCTAGGTTTTAGGTTTGTCATTGTCCACTTGCAAACGTCCTCTGCGCTTTGTTTTCAATACCTTCAATGTAGAAAAGCCAGACTCGCTGAGGTATGTGGTGGCAAATGGAAGAAAGGATTTGAGAGCCGAGCCCTCTCGGGATAGTCTTTTTTGAAATACAGCCAGTAGTGATGGGAATTATGGCTCTTTGAAGGGAGCCGGATCTTATGGCTCCGTTCCTTTCAAAAGAGCCGTTTTTTTTTAAAAGGGGGCGGGGTCTATAGGTTTATCTGCGAAATAATCACCAGGATAATGATTGACTGTATTGCCAGACCTAATGTCAATAATCTGCATTGTAAACATGACACAAGGTGGCGCCATATCCATCTCATCATGTCAGTGAATGTACTACTTTGAATGTACCCTCTGTGTGTGTTAAGTAAATAAAGTTGCCTTGCCTTGAATGAAATTCATGCAACTCTTAATATTAGATAGGCTACTGTGTTTTTAAGTGGCGATGGAGATTATTTGTTGACCCTGCTTTAAAGGGTATTTTGCCTTTACAAATGGTGCGCTTTATCACTGCCTGGGTTTTGGTTGAAGTGCATCCAAGTTCTGCTGCGTTTTCGCGTTTGGCTCATTTTCCATCCAAAAAACACGTCGTCTACCTGTCCTGTAGCCTACCACTTGTTATGACTTATCTCTCTCGCGTATTCCATTAAAACCAGTGGTGTAGTCTACGTGATATGCTGGTATACCCACTAGAAAATTCCAGTGATTTCCGTATACCCTCTTAAAAATGAGCGATGATACGTAACATCATTTTGTGACTGCGCTTTCACACTTTCGCCTCTTCTGTGTTAATACTTTTGGACGTCTGGGGCTTCCGTCGCCTGTGGCCTGTTGCGAAGCAACAGCAACACACTTTGTTCGGCTCTGACAAACCCCACGTTTCTCTAACGTTATCAGAATTTGATCCGTCCACCGTTCGCGGAGCGCTAAACAGGAAGCAAACATGAAACGAAAACAGACGACAATATTTCAATGTTTTCCGAAGTTTTCCCCTATTACCACTACAGAAGAAGAGCCAGGTCCTAAAGGCAGGGCCGCCCCTCCCTACAGGCCAATCACGCAGGCTGCATGGGGCCCCGCCTTGCGCAGGGGGCCCCGCCCAGAGGGCCTCAGCTGCTGTGCGCAGTTCTCCGCTCACCCCCCGCGAGAGTGAGAGGTGAGAAGGGGAGCACGTCTGTAACCCGACACCGTTGCAATGAATCGACATCTGACCAATCACGGCTTTGATACGGCCACTAGTGCAGGTGAAGAGATGTCGGTGAAATTATTGTATGAGTCAAATGTACAACTTGCGAATGTTGTATAAGTCAAATTGCCAATTGCCATATTAAAACATCAGCTGCATTTCATGACATGAAGAAGGCAGTCTCTGCATAGCATATAGGCTAATGGAGATGCAGTTATTTCCAGCATTCTTTATTTAACATTCAAGTATGTTATGCCTTTTATCTGCTAATGTACAGGAGGAAGAGTGATACACTGTCTGTCTAGTTGGCTTACATAACAGTTAAAGTTTACAGCTTAAAAAACATGGAGCATTTTTCCCCCTTTTATTCATTTTTATGTCAATTTGCACATTTCTGGTGATGCTCAGCCTCTCCCCTTAACTCCTAACAGTCATCATGTCAACCACAACACAGAGAAATACTGAGAGAAATGTGTGTGTAGTTGTTGATACATTGCTGACACAGAGGGAACTACATTTGAATACAGATTTAAGAAATATCAGTTTTTGAGCATGTTTTGTCTTGACTATATGACAACTATATTATAATAAAATAATATAGTATTTATATTATTGAATTGATTATGATTATGATTATTATTATTAGTAGAAGTAGTTTATTTGCATTCATTATATTTTAATCTTTTTAAGGCTAGTATTTGGCAGGAAATACAGACGTACATGCACATTTAGCATTTACCTCACTGTATACAAAAGTAACTGTGTTGATACTAATAATAAACAGGAATTATATTTGCAAAGTAGCCTACTTTGTTTCCAAAAAAATGTCTTTCACTCCTGTCGGTAGCAGGGGGGGGCCTCATCTCACAATGTCGCTTGGGGCCCCAAGTTGGCCAGGGGCGGCCCTGCCTAAAGGTGACAGAGAACGAGCCCGGCGCTACCGCAAATGTACCCGGTAACTGAAATTAGCATGGTTATCATTAACGTAACGGTAGCTAACTTGATCAACGTTAGTGTGGTGGATCAATGGAAGAGAAAGGGAGCGAGAGTGTGTGTGTGTGTGTGTGTGTGTGTGTGTGTGTGTGTGTGTGTGTGTGTGTGTGTGTGTGTGTGTGTGTGTGTGTGTGTGTGTGTGTGTGTGTGTGTGTGTGTGTGTGTGTGTGTGTGTGTGTGTGTGTGTGTGTGTGTGTGTGTGGTGGACTGAAAGTCAGGTGATGGAATTTAAGAACAGGCATCCTTGGTTAGAGTGGAGGGACAGAAAGTTAGGTAAATGTCAGCACACATGCAAAGGAAAGCTGATCTAAACAACAGAAATTCATAAAGTCAATGACTATGCAAATGAGTTAATTCATGGTCATGTTAAAAGTGCATTTAAAACATTTGCACCATTACATTACTATATGTTAGTTATCAGTAGTTGTCAAATAATTAGCTATTGAAAAGTGGAACATCCTTTTATCTGATTTTCATGCATTTGTTAGCCATGATCTAAATATTGTAAGCAGTTTATTAAATACTTTTGAGTAAATCTTGGCTCTTTTCTGCAGATGTTATTGGTAAAAACGTGTATATGCTAATTAGTCATGGTTTTGTTTATTTCCAGGTTGTGCTCTTTGCAGCGCTACAAAATCAACCGGTGTCCTCACAGAACAACGAGTGTCTGTCTGAGGAGTGGGTGCACTTTGAGATCCAGTCCTCAGATTCAAGCAGATCAACATCTCTGGCCTCTTTGAGAAACAAGATTAGACAACCCAGGAGCTCACGGAGAAGGGTGGACAGGATTTAGTTGGAAATCTGGTGAGAGCTGTGTCAGAGACTGTGTTTGCAGAGACAGATTCTGTATTCAGAACAGCATAATATCTTGCGAAGATGAACCAACCTTTTACTGACCATGATAGTCTCATTGAGCTTCAGGAAAAAAAGGGTGCCAACATGGGCACTAGTCTGCACTCAAGGTTCAGTTCCACAAAAATTGTAGAACACATAGCAAAAGAGATGCAGAAAAAAATAGTTCACAGTATTGTGACGTCTTCAAGCAAGTTGTCTGTTCTCATTGACGAGGCTACATCTGCAGGGCTTGTGGACTAACACAGTGAACCCAGTATGGACATGTTGAGTGCTTTTTCAACCCTCATTTATTGAGGTGAAGCTTATTTGTTCATTTGTTTCTTGTTTGAAGCTAATTTGTCTTGTAGCACTTCAAGGATGTTTGCTTGTTCATTTAAGCTGATACAGTACATAGTTTGACATTGATTTATGGAAGATAATAGGGCTGAACAAGTTTGAATAAATATCTAATGCATTGAAAAATATGTTTAAAATGATTATTGTGTGATATTTTGTGTGATATTTGTGCGAAACAAAGATGTTTTTTTAAGTGTAGAATATGATGTGTGGGCCAGAACATCTGTATACAGATGTCCTGGCCCACACATCATGGTCATGCTATAGCATGACCATATTTATTGTATATTACTTGAAAATTGCAGTAGGCCATTTTGATAAAAATGTTGATTAATTGTTCAACCCTAGAAGATAAGTGGGCTTTTTCCATCATTGTTCATTCTTTTATTGTTAATGTCACTGGCAGTTAAAAGTCACATACAAATGCTTATAATACATTGACATGTTGATAACACATAACCAGTCTCAAGACTAGTTATGCATTAGTGAGTGTGATGGTGTTCATGAGGTGTTGCTTCGAGACAGGTGTCGCTCCGTCGCTCTATGATGGATGAATACAATTATTACAGTATACCCACTACAAAAAAGTAGACTACACCACTGGTTAAGACCCACCCCATCTCGTGCTGAAACATACCAATCAGAGTAGGGGCGGGTCTTCACAGAATACGTTTGGGGAACAAAATCAAGCTTTTCAAAAGGCCAGTGGATTTTGGCAGGCAGTTGAACGATAACAAGAACGGCTCTCACCAAGTACGACTCGGTTCCCCTCATTCGTACTAAAGAGCCGTTCAAAATAATCGGCTCATTCGCGACCGACACATCACTAACAGCCAGTACTGAGGGAGTGAAACAGTATGCAAGTTTCCGGAGCCACGAGGCATCTGAAAAACGGCCAG